AGGGATTCTGATGACAGGAGTTTAGATATTAGTTTGTGTCCCAATACTGGTGTGAATAGCTATATACGTTAGAGACAATTGTAAAAAGGTATCATTGAAGTTGTTTGTACCTATGGGCTAATTATGGACACTAAAAAACCCCGAGGCAGAAGCAGTTTAAATTTTGTGCTTTATAAGTGCCCTAGATTAGGTCAGGAGTGAACAGAGCAGGCGTTTGCCTTTGATGGGGGAAGTGCGCAGGATGTCTGCATTGGTTGAGGCCAACAGGTTGGGGGTGCTCCTGCATGCTTCCCAGCAGGCTTCTGGAGAATGCTGAGCCCCGCTGAGAAGCTGGTCACTTGTCATTGGCCAGCACAGCCCCTGTCCCCATCCCCACCTCCCTGTCAGTGGTGGTGGGAGGGAAAAAAGGGGGAACAGAGGCCCCCTCCCCAGCCCCCGGACCTCCCAGGGGCTTCCACCTCCCCTACTGCCCAGCTTGGCTGGCCAGCATGGCTCCCCTCCCCAACCCCCCCCCCCCCCCCCCCTGTCTATCCACACTGTCCCACAGGCAGCAAAGGGGAGCGGAGGCCCCTGCCACACAGCCCCCCGCCCCAGCTGCACTAGCGTGGGTCTGAGAGGGCAGGTCTGTGTGGTGGGAGCCTCCATTCCCCTCCCTCCCACCCAATGGCAGAGGTGTGGGGTTGGGGGGAGGAGCTGAGGTGGGCAGTCAGGCAGTGGGGGGAGGGTGAAGCTGGGCTGGCTCGGGCCAGGGCCAGCCCCCCATTACCCAGCTGCAGCTGACAGCTGGCATGGCCCCCAGCCCCACCTCTGCCTGCAGCTGGCTCTGTGAGAGCCTGCTCAGCCAGAGCAGATGAGTGTGGCCAAGGCTAGTGAGGGGTGATTAGCAGGGGCCCACAAAGCAGCCTGGGATGCCAGGGGACTGCAATCTGACTTGCGTTGGGAGGGGATCTGGTACAGAAGACTGATAGACCTAAATTGCTTAAGTCATATATTACATCCCTCCAAGTCTACCTTAGATCAGGTTCTTCCATTTTTAAACTGGCCTGTGTGTGCCAAACTTCTGTGCTGTTACTAGTTTAGACTACTTTTCAGTCATTTATACCAGTTTATGTGAAATGTCTGTACCTGGCCTTAAAGTTGACGGAATAATTTGTTACGAAAGCTTGTCTATATTGGTAATGCACTTACTATATAATGTGTGTGTAGCAGATAGCATAGGTTTTAATAACATTCTAGCCATGTATTTTGAACATAAATGAATATGGAAGTAAAACATTTTAAATTATTAGTTTGTACTATTATGGCAGGTTATAAGAGCCAACATTATACTTTATGTATTTTCAGGTTACCGTGTATTTGTAACATAACAATGTTTACAATAAGAATTTTTACAGTTTTATCACTTAAAATGTTTAACAACATTTTCCAATAACTATATCAGAAAATGATACTAAGAATCCTTGTCAGCTGATTGATTGGTAACTGTGGTAATCAAGGAGTAAAATTATAAATTAGTGTTAATTCCCAGTGGCAAGTTCTTCCAAAATAGTATGAATATGTGAATACTGGTATCTGTAAGACATTTAAATTGGATGCAATTGAATAATAAAAATTAATGCAATGAAAAATTATGCCCATATCTTATATTTTAAGAAAGTCCTATCTACTGGATACAAAATATCATGGACTCAATATAGACATTGGATTTATGACACATTACAATCTGCCTGACATCTGATTCACAAGATACCTACCAGACCTGACATTTTACACTTTTCTTTTCCCCCTTCCTCCCCTACCTTCCTTTTCTGTCCTTTGTCTTTCTAATTTCCAGCCATTTACTTTTTCACATACAGCCTCTTTTCTACCTTGGAAAAATACTACAGTAGAGTCTTTGACTTTTTCCCCCCTTCCTTTTTCCGCCTCCCTTCCTTTATCTACCTTGTGTTTTCCTAATTTCCACCTATTTACATTCTCACTGACATCCTGTCACACTTTTAACTTCTTTTTTATTCTTTGGAGTCTCAGAACAGCAGACTCCCTATGCCTGAAAAAGCTTGATTGCACCCAAATGCTTGCAAATAACTTTATCCAACTACTCAGTTGGTCTAATAAAAGATATCACGTCTACCCAAAGAACCTTGCCTGCTTATATTTTAAGAAAGTTAGTTATGACTGAATGTCTGCATCCAGGGAAGGGACATGCCAAGATGAAGAGAAAACTATTTGATATGCAGAGAAATAAGAGAATTAGTAGTAGTTTATTACAGCTTTCACCAAAGCAGTATAATAAAATGAGCAACATTTATACAAATGTGTATAAAAGCACAGAGTAAGTTTATCCATTCTACCAGTTTACACAACATTAAAACAGAACATAGTGTTTAATGATAGAAAATAAAAAGTAAAATGAAGAAGTGAATGATAAAACAAATAATTCTATCTGATTTTGGCCTTTATTGTGCAAATAATGCAAATCCCTCCAAGGAGTATAAGACAGGCTCTAAAGTATGAAAAGGATGACAGATTGTTTTTTCTTCACTAGCCCAGTATTAGTATTTCCTATTCATGGAGATATCCATTTACCCCTTATTTCTTCAAAAAACAAACAAGACCACAAATAATGATTTAAGTCATCTATCTCATTCTTTCCACAAGAGCATATTCTGTCTGAATATGGAGTCTGATATCACCTGCCCATTACAACTGCTGATCTCATTACAGCAAATCACAATCTAGTAATGGCCTTCAATTGTTTAAAGTTTTGCATAGACAGGTAAGTTTCTGGACCAAAGGAGAGTTTTTTATTAATTTAAAAAGGGGGAATTCAAGACAGTCTTACTGGCAGCAGATCTGTCTGCATGCTGGCATCTTTAATGCTTCAATTTATGTCCGGTTTTAAATACAGGGAAAATATTGGTTCAGTGACTTAAAACATTTCCCAAGCCATTTGTCTGGAGGAGTATAAAGATGTTATTTAACCATCCAAACTTGGGCTCATTTGGCAACGGAGGGGCTTCTAGAATGCATTTATTCGGGTATCCGGTAGGTGTAAAAAGATCTCATTTTCATCCAGTAATTTAGAGTTCTTAACTGAGTTAAGGTGGTCACATTTATGAGTCCAATTTAAGAGCACATGAGCCCTCCCATTGTAGAATTAGGTAGAGATAAAAGCCAACCTAAAAAAAAGTTATTTGAAATCTTTTCGGATTTTGCATGGGCCAGAGGATCAGCACCCCAGAGCTCTGCTCCATGCAATAAAATTGATTCTACCTTGGATTATAGATCTTTAGTACTTCCAGAACCACTCCTCTGTCTGCCTTTCCGTAAAAAGGTAAAGCTCCATCTACAGCTTGTTTTCAATGTGCTAATTCCAGCTCAGGTTTTTGCTAAAGTAGATTCCAAGGTACTTAAAGGAGGATGCTACCTTTATCTTCTTTTTCTGTAAAAAAAATCTTGTTTCCTACTTTCATTTCCAAAGAGCAATACCTTGGTTCTAGCTGTGTTGATTTTTAAGCTATTTGAGTTCAATACTGTTAAAAGGCATCTAATAATCTTTGGAGGCCTCTTTGGGTGCATATACATGAGTAGCAAGGCTGCTCCGACATGCAGTTAATTACAGTGTGTCAGAGCAGACTCGATTAACCGAGTCTGCTGGAGTGTGGTAATATAATTATTGTAATTACCATAATTGTTGTAATAATGTCATTACCATGCTCCTGCGACGCCAGCATCTCATGTATCAGCATCCCTGCACTGAAAAATGGTGGCAGGGACACTTTAACTAAAACTCAGTCAACAAACTTTAGTTAAACGCCTCCGCCACTATTTTTCACCACAGTGATGTTGATACATGAGACCCCTCCCCTCCTCCCAGAGCATGTATATAAACGCTCTTTAAGATTGTGACAGAATGAATGCATTATCTGCATAAAGCAAGAGAGGGACAGGAACATTTCAAATTATGGGTGCATGGAATTAATTCCCTGTTAGCACATTTTAGATCATTCAAGAATTGAAAAGTAGCAGAACAAGCAAACATCCTTGCCATGTCCCTGTCTTAGTTGGGAATCTACTGGATTGGATATTGCACTGTCAATGTTGTGTTAAAATATTAAGTGATGTTTAATTGTAAGAGAGCTTTGTCCATTGATGTTATTCCCAGTTTCTTCCATAGTTTTAATCTGTCTATGGAGTCAAAAGCTCCCTTGAGATCGATGAAGGCTACATACGGGTGATTTTGTCTTTTAAAAAATGTAGATGCCAAGTAATGCAGCACCAGAAGAGTCTTCTCTAAAACCAGCCTGTTGTTCCCTCAAAATATTATTTTCAGAGATCCATGTCTGAAGGTGAAAAAGTAAATGTCTCCCAAGTATTTTGGCAGGAATACACATAATGCTAATGGGGTGGTAGGATGTGGGATCTCTCTTATCACCATTTTTAAAAATTGGGGCTATTGTATTTTCATTCCAATACTTTGGATAAATGCCTTCAAAAATAATTATATTAAAAAGTTTGGTCAGAATTAGGCACCACCAGTCAATGAATTCCTTGAGAATATCTGGAGGGGCATCAGGTCCAGAGGCCTTTCCATTTCTCAGTAAGGATATCTATGATGTTACTTGAGCTTCAGAGGTAAGATCATAGAAATAAAGAAGGAATGAAGCTTAACAGGGATTTTACAAATACAAAGCAGAGAAAGAAACAAAAAATCTAGAACAAATGGATACATCTCAAGGACAGTACAGAAGACCAAAGTTTGCTGCTTCAGGCACAGGTTTGGACTAGATGACCTCTGAAACAGTGGTTCTTAACCTGTGGGTCATGACCCAAAAGTGGGTCACAAGAATATTTGAAAGGGTTGTAATGTGAACAGTCACAGAAAAACTCGGGAAAGTGCTGGTTTCCTCTTGCAGGCTGGCAGCCTTCCAGCCTGCAAGGAGTTGCTTGGAGCGATTGGAAGCAGGGGCACCACGTGCGTCTGTGCACACACGTTGCAAGTCGCCGGCATACAGCTAGGCAGGGTGGTGGGAGCAGCCCCAGCCACTGGATACAGGTAAGTCTATGGGGAGTGGGAGTTGGAGGGCTGGGGTTTGGGGACTGTCCAGGGGGCTGTGTGTGTGTGTGTGTGTGTGTGGGTGTGTGTGTGTGTAGCAGGGGTGTGTGGAGGAGATGGGGCGGGGGGGTGCCTGCCGGTGCTGGAGGAAGGTGTCCAGGCACTGGTTCAGGGGGAGGTGCCTGCTCCTCTAGTAGGGGAAGAGGGCGGGGGGACTCTTCAAGGATGTCAGGGAGCTGTGTGGCCAGGCTGGCAGCACCAGGGCCAGTGCCCATGCTCGCAGAGGTGAGGTTGCCAGGAAACAGTGCCTGGTGGGGGGAGCCATAGCCAGGCCACCTGGTGTGATGTAGGAACCCCAGCCCAGAGTGATGGGTACCACAGGCCTCCTCTCCTCATCCGTCAAGCCCATGCTGGGGCTGGACTTGCTCTGCTTCTGCAGTGCATGAGCCAGAGCCACTGCAGCTGCCATGCTCCAGCCCAGGCAGAACAGGGGCAGCTGGGGGCTCCCTCCAGCAGGGCTGGGGTGGGGCAGGAGGTTGCAGGTCAGGATTGAGGGGCACAAGTAGGGCTGGTGGGGGCTATGAGTTGGGTGTAAGGGGTACTGGCAGGGCTAGGAAGCTGTGGGTCAGGAGTGAGGGGCACCATCAGAGCCAGATAGTTGCAGCTTGGTAGTGAGGGGCACCAGAAGGGCCAGGGGGCTGCAAGTTAGGAATGAGGGGCACTGACAGGGCCAAGGGGCTTTGAGTCGGGAGTGAGGGGCACTGGCAGAGCCGAGTGGCTGCAAGTCATACATTCATAGATTCATAGATTCATATATGTTAGGGTTGGAAGGGACCTCAATAGCTCATCGAGTCCGACCCCCTGCATAGGCAGGAAAGAGAGCTGGGGTCAGCTAGATGCTTATCTAACCTCCTCTTGAAGACCCCCAGGGTAGGGGAGAGCACCACCTCCCTTGGGAGCCCGTTCCAGACCTTGGCCACTCTAACTGTGAAGAAGTTCTTCCTAATGTCCAATCTAAATCTGCTCTCTGCTAGCTTGTGGCCATTATTTCTTGTAACCCCCGGGGCGCCTTGGTGAATAAAACCTCACCAATTCCCTTCTGTGCCCCCGTGATGAACTTAAGTCAAGCGTGAGGGGCACCAGCATTTTGCATTGTGCATATTGCATGGTGATGAATGTCACTTGGGAGTAATGGAGGGCCACATGTTGATATTGCTGTTAATGTTTTCCTGTTGAGGTTGATTTCTGTCTTTAAAATTAAGACTGTTGAGATGCTTTAACTTGCAGTGTGTAATAAGTATTTTGGGGCCAAAATACCTGTGTACTTCCTACTTAAACTTTTTACTGGGTCAGAACTGGCCATCAATGTTTACAAATGGGTTCTGGTGCACAAAAGGTCGAGAACCACTGCTCTAGAGGTCCCTTCCAGCCCTACTTCTCTAGGATACTAAGTGCTGATCTGAAAAGGAAAAACTGAGCAGGAAGGGTAATGACAAATGTGAAGGCAGCAGGAGGAAAGGACAGAAAATAAATGAAGGGAAGTAAACTAACAAAAACCTATAATCAAGAAGGCAACACAATTATTCTAAATGATTAATGGAAAGTGAATTTTAATGTGATTTAATTTTACCTATATTTCAACAGCACAGAAATAAAGTGAAAAAAACAGAAAACCCTGAATTAGATCATTTTTAACATGCAGCTAACCAGCTTCTCTTTTATGAACAAAATAGTTATTAACTGTTGTTTTAAGCATTTTAGAATAGTGTTAAACCTCAAACACTGTAAGTACCACATGGCAGGAAGTCAAAGCCAACATAAAATATGCTAGTTTGTACTATCCCAGCTTAGGCAGTGAGCATTTTATGAGACAAACAAATTAGGGACTTGGCAAACAATTCAAAATGAATCCAAATTGTGTGTGTTCTAACCTGCTAAGTTAACCTTAGTTTTGCTTGACTCCAGCAAGGTCTATACTTGTCTCCTGGCTTTCATTTTTTCACTGTTATAATGGGTAGTAGTGGTAAAAGTGCTATCTACTTCTCCAGTGTTAAGCAGCCCAATGGTAAAAATGCTACCTGGTTCATGAATCTGCACTAGTATCTGAATCAGGACTCATAGTAGAGATGATATCTTTTATTAGACCAACAAGATTTTTGCAAAAAAAGTTATTTAATCGCAAGCTTTCGGGCACAAACACATCAGGCATTGGAGAAAAGATTGTAAAAGTTCTCCTGGGTAGAAATGAAAGTTCGTATTTCATAGGATTTCACAGAGGAGTCAATAGATGGAAAACTCCTCTGGGCAGTCAGTTCATAGCTGGTATGGAGCCTCTCACCTCCTGTGAGGATCTGCAATGATGCAGATTACCTTGAAACAAAGGCAGGAGCAGGATCTCAGGTTTCAGGTGGTCATAGCTGCTTCCTACTTGGGAAAATATGAAGATTTCATTTCAAAAAATTAATTGCTGAATAACAAAAAAATGAATACAAAAAATAGTATCTGAATTGCTTTTTTACCAATCATTCTCCTTGATGGTCACAAAGATTGGAATTTTTTAGGTATAAAGGACAGTGTTTGCTCACTTCATAATGTTCCACTGGAACCTATTTTGGTTACTAATACTTTTTTAAAATTAGCTGGCCTCTGTTTCCCTTAACAAGAGCTAGTGGGAAAAGTTAAAGAAATTTCATAAATTTGATGGGAAAACAGTAAATAATAGATGTTCTAAAAACATTTGGAATTGTTTCCATCCACTATTTTTTTTGCTAGATTTGAACCTTATTAAAGTTTAAATAATCTTTATGGATCTGGAACCAAATTTTTGTCCATTGTATGCCGGTAATTTGCTGTATGTATAGCAACATCTCTTATGCCAGTGTCTATTTTACAGTGTGATTCAAGATGGACACAAAAGACAGTTATACTTTTTTTAATTATTGAACAATAATAAACATATACTTTAAAAAAACCCAACAGCTTATTAGATTTACATTCATGACACTGATGCAAATAAAAAAAAAACATTTAATGTAAGTAAATACTAATATCTACGACATTCTTTAAATAACTTTTCCAGTCTACGAGAAGAAGGCAGGTATAAGCCTCTTCTCATTGAAGTCAAGGCAGAAATCACTATTGGCAGCAATACATATAGAATCATTTCAGTGGCATGTCAGTATTCCACAGCTATGCAGCATTTTGCAGTGATATTGTCTGTACCACTATTGTTGTGACTGACACTTTTTCCATTAATACCTCCATCTCAAACATAAAAATGCAGTCCCATCTAAGACATGGTATATGTCAACCTTGGATTTGCTTTTCATGGCACTGTAATGAGAGAGTACATTTTTTCATTTTAGTTTGTGGATGTTTTCTGCTACTTGTCTTTTTATGGCCTGATTAAAGCTCACTATAGTCAGCAGAAACAATCAAACTGATTTTAATGAGCTTTGGGTACAGGGTTATACCTTAAGAACATTTGGGGGGGGTGTTCTTTAGTTGCATTCTTTTAAATGTGCTTTCAAATGATGCTGTATTGCTGCCAGTGTGATCTACTCCTTCTCTCAGTGAAGTTGATGACAGAACTCATATTGATTTAAACTGAAAGAGAATGAAGGCTGATGTATTTTATGAGCCTGGTCCTCAGACCATGTGAGCTCCATCTCAATAACAGTATATTTACTGTGTCTAGGGACCTGGCTTTTTAAAAATGTATTAATAAATCATAATGTCATTGACTTTTGCAAAGTGTCAGCTATATGCCAGATATAGACTAATTAGCCACTCCTACAATCTCCCATGAAAGTAGTTCCATTATTTAAATGAGATCCCTGGCGTGAATAGGGATGACTCATGTGAGTAAGGGGTTGAAGGTTGTGCACTAAGAAATGCTTGTAGATCAAAAAATAGATAAAAAATAGATAAATTTAAGTAATCCTAAGCAGCTTCTTTAATTCCAGTTCCTTGTATAGAAACTTGTATTACTGATAAATGCTTATTTATGCTGATACTCCAATGCTCCTTCAAAGATATTGCCATCTATTGGACACAAAAGCCACTCTTATTTCAGAAATATTTCGTAATACTATGATTTTACACAGGCTCAGGTAAGATAAGCACATTGTAGAAGGCTATATGATAATGATTTCTGTCAAAGTAGAAATATGTTAACATCCTGTTAGTTATCACAAAACTAACAAAAACCAGAATATTCAAAATGAATGTTGATTTATCAAATTCACACCATTGTGCCCTTTATAATATTATTTTGCTGGTGTGAGTCAAGCACATCAATTTTTAGCTTTGGATTTTCAAGCTTTTGTTGAGTTGCATCACTAAAACTTTGGCTCCACAACAGCAGGTTTTACACATCAAAAATCTCCATTGAGCTTAATGGGATTTTTCTATCAAGAGCCTGGAGGAAGAGCTCTTTAGCTACATATAAATGCAGGGATCTGGGCTTGGTTTTTCAATATTACTATACATTCAGCAATCCACAATATCTTTTAGTGTTCAAATACTTATCAAAACAAATATAAAAAATCATATACACTGTACAGTCTATTCATAAGTAAACATTTTTTCTGATGATGCATAGAATCACAACTGGTCTTCAGAGATTATAATTTCATATGCTGTAGATATACTGTCTTTTTAAATTGTGCTGTTGTATATTCAACCATCTCTGAGGAATGCATTCATCTGAGAGTCCTGTAAGTTGAGTAAATATCAGCGAGGGTTTAACCATTTCATTACTGGGGAGTCAATTCCTTTCTCCTTGACAAACTCCTCTTTGACAGCATTACCATCCCCTGATGCCATGTCATTATCTGAAAGTTAAAAAAGAAAGTTAATTTCATGTATATTGGCTGAATAAAATATTTTTATATAGCTATAACTGTAAGGTTGAAAACACTTCTGAAATTTTTTTGTTAATAATTCATCTTTCATCAGTTTATCTGTTTTCCTATAAAGTAATCTATTTGTACTGTTTTTCCAAAATTATGCCCTGGAAGGTATGTGGTGTAATAGTTTAAGCCCAGACAGAGTGTGAACAGATCTAAATTCAGTTTCCCATGGTAACTGTGTTCCTTTTCTTGATTCTTCCATGATGATATTATGATGAAATTTGTTAAATACTGCTCATCCTCAATTTAAATACTAGTTAGACAGTGTAAAAAAAATATCAGGAATGAATTCTTGGGCCCAGTAAAGACACTGAAGGTGTGTCCAGACAAGCGTGGCCGCGCAGTACGTGGCACTGCAAACACACTTGCAGTACCACATCCCGCACAGTCCAGTGTTCTCCATGCTGCAAGGGCATGCTCTGCACTGTGTTTTTCCCAAGGGTTTTTTTTGACCCCTGGATAGCCAGGGGTCAAAAAAAACACAGAAAAAAAGTGGAGCAATGCACACTTGGCCAGCACACACTGCTGAAAAGCAGAGCCAGGTCACCTGGAGCTGTGCTCCGCTGCCAGCTAGGTTCCACATGGCAGAATCGCCATGGCTGCAGCTCCAGGATGCCCCCAGGACCCAAGATAAGGCTTCTGGGTCCAGCATAGTGCTGGCCCCAGCCTCCCCTACCCCACCTGGGGCAACTTGCCACATGCCAAAGCACATGGCATGGGCGTTCCCCAGGGACAAGTAGGGGCGACACAAGGTGCACTGCTTCTACTTGTCCCCAGGGAACCAAACATCCATGCACACCCTGAGAGTTTTTCCATTCGCTTGTATGGAGTTAGGATTTTATCCCTTCATGCTTTGTATTTTATTCCTTTCCAACCACAGTTTATTTGGCTTTCGATTTTTTTCTGCTCCGTGATATAAAGTACAGTGTTGCTGCCTTCGTGTATGCATTACTTTGCTCCTACCTTCTAGGCGCGTCTACACGTATCGTTATGGCAACGTTGTTACTGTGCCATGATTTAGTACTTCCTTTTGGAGGTACTAAATCATGGTGCAGTAACAACCTGTGCTGCACCGTATGTGCTGCGCACGGTTATTTTTAGCAGCTACTTTGCCATAGTGAAGGACTATAAGGGGAGAGCATGTTGCTACAGTGACATAGCTGCTGGTCACATGTAGATGCCAGTGGATGCTAGGTCACCATAGCATGTTGCTACAGTGATGTGCCATCACATGTAGATGCGCCCTCTGTGTAGACCTATCTAGTGTGAATAAACTGCTTGAGGTTTTGGTTCACAATATGCTTGAAAAGAATCCAAAGCTTTGAGATTTGAATTGGTTCTGCTCACTTTTTTCTCTATAGTTACAAGCCTTTGCAATTCCATGTTTTGCATAGCCACTTTCCCAGCCATACCAAAATGTCCAAAAATTGTAAAAACTCTGTAAAGATATGGCAGAAGCAGATTCAGCTATCTGTATAATCTTTAAATAGAATGAATGCCAGGGACCATAATATAATATTATTTTCACTTACAAGTTTCTCCTAATATTTCATGGTAGTTGGGCTATATGTTGTGTGATGATATGTGACTATGCTAATTCAATGTATAAAGCTGTTCACTGAAAAAATTAAAGCATGTGTAAAGTTGCTTCTGCCTTCATCAGAAAAATGGTGTTTTTATTACCACATTGGAGCTAATGCATGAGGTGACATTCTGTTTTTTCCCCATAATATGTGCTGGAGTTTATTGTGTTGCATTAATTTCATGTGTAGATGCACCCACTGGCAACAAAATGAGAGAGACCTTCCATCTTTTGGTCCCAACAGATGAGTGGCTAGAGCTATTGCCTACTACAGCTTCTATCAAAGGTTTTTTTCTGTAACTCCATGTATAGCATCCTGACTATTACACCATTGGTCAGATATTTCCCAGACCCCTTCTCCAACATCCTTTTGAAGTTGGGCCACCAGTATACTCACTGGAAAATATAGATGGAGGCAATACCGTAGCAAGGGGGGGCAAGTGGGGCAACCACCCTGGGTGTCGAAGCAAAGGGGCGCCAACAGGTGCTGCCCAGCCAGGGCAGGGCATAGGATGCAGCCACAAGCAGCTTCTTTGGGGGTTGCAGGAATGGGGGGAGGATGGCTCCCGCCACTGCTTGCACTCCTGGGTATGGTATGGTCCTGGATGGAGGGCAGTAGAGGGGGGAAAGCTTCTGCTTCTAGAAGCAAGATCCTTAGCTGGAATGCAAGGCCTCCTCCCTTCCGAGCTAGCACCCACCACACTGAGCCACTTACATTCTAGCTTATTCTCTTCCCCTGGCCCCAGGTATCTTTCACAAACCTCCCACTCAGAGCTCAGGAGGGACAGCTTCAAAAGGAGCACCAGAGAAGGATCTGGATAACGGCTGAGATGGTATGGTAGTCCTCTGCTGGGAAGTCAAACCCCTTTAGGTGTAGGAGGCCTAGGAACTAGGTCCTCTAGCTTCTCAAAAGAGTATCCTAGTTACTCAGCTATTTGAGAAGAAGATGTCTCTCCCTCCTTCCCCCCTTTTTCTGAACCTAATTTCCAGTAGTTGTGGGTTTTGGTCAATTACATTTTTGGCATTTGAGGCCACTAGATGTCCCAGGTCCCATTGTATATGCCCAGGTTGAGCATGCACATAGTTGTCTATGGGCACATCTACATGTTGCCCTATGGTGACATAGGGACAGGCTACGTTGCTGTACAGCATGCTAAGGTGATGTAGCAATCACATGTGTCTACACGTGGTTGCCAGCTACATCACTAGCAACACACTCCCTGGGTATAGCATACTGCTATGGTGACATAGTGGTGAAATTTACCCATGTGCCACATGCACAGCGCAGTAACCACTCATACTGTGCCATGTTTTAGTACTTCTGAAAGAAATTATAAAGCATGGTGCAGTAGCAACGTCACTGTACAGAGACGTGTAGACACGCCCTATGTGCACAGATTCACAGATCCAGGAATAGAATTCCTACCTAAGTGTAATTCTGTTCCTGGATCTGTGAACCCATGCAAAAATGCCACATAAACATCCCAAAAATAGGACCCTTGGATTACAAGAAAGGGAACAGAATGTCACCCATGGTAACTAATATGTGACATAACCTCAACACTGAACAAGGCAACTGTAGTTTTCACACATCTGGGTTTTTTTGTTTTCCAGATCCAACTCCTGCCTCAGGGTTTCTCTATACTACACAACTTCTGCCTTTATAGCTATACCAGAATATCTATGTTGGTGGAGTCCTCTTCAAGAAGGCATGATATATTATGACAGAATGGCTTGAGAGACAGTTACATCCACTCCCCAAGTGACATAAACCAAACCATCAGAAGTCCCATTGTGTCAGGATGGCTGCATCCCCACCAAGGATTTTGCTAACATTGCTATGTTGACCAAAGACATGAAAAAGTCACACAGAGCCACAATAGCTATGCTTGGCAAACCTTTGATCTTAGATGGCCCAGCATGTGCAAAATGATAAACTACCTTACTCACTCTAAGATTGTAATGCATGCTATTTACTATATATTAGACCTATAGGGTGGGTATACCCAGAGGAAATTCTTGGCAAATTTAATGAATGTTAATATGAGCCCTTAATAATAAACAAAAAAAAGTGTATGTACTATTACTTATTTGTGTAGCTCCATCACTGTATATAAAACTCTCAGAAAATGCAGTGTGCTGGTAGATCACATACACAGAAGTTTCCACCAGAATCAAATATCTCATCAAATCTTACCAGTGTATGAAATAATTTTTCGTCTGTTTGGTGGCTTTGAAGCGGAGAGTTGGAAAAATGGGAACTTCAAACATTTTCCAGTTACTCTGTCACAGATGCCAGACTGACAGTTGCAAGCTTTTCTGCATTCTATTCCGTAGGTACCGTACGGACATTCTGAAAGAAGACAAATTAGAAACGTATATACCGAATCCTGAGCTGGGTAGGTCTGTTACTAGTATTTTTAATCTTATGGATGTTGTATTCTTAAAATAATTTTGTTTGGTATCGAAGCATTTTGAAATGACAAACTTTGCTTCAAATAGCTTACTGATTATATTCACTATTACATTACATAATGTACATGCATTATACATGTTACATCTTTCAAGAGTCATAATATGTGAAATAATCACTTAAAAAAAAAGTCTTCATCAAGGGGCTGAAAGAAGTCTCAAGAGGTCATCTAAGACAACCTCTGCTTAGCTCAGGATCTAACTATCCGAGACAAATTTTTGCCTAACTTGCACTTAAAGACGTGCAGTGATGGAAACTCCACTTCCTCTCTAGATAATCTGTTTCAGTTCTTAATCACTCTCAGACTTAGAAAATTATTTCTGATGTCCAACCTAAAACTCCCTTGCTACAATTTAAGGCCATTATTTCTTGTCCTGTCACCAGTGAATGTAGAGAACAATGAGTCTCCATCCTCTCTATCACAACTCTGGTTGTATTTGAGCAGTGTTAATAAATCTCCCTTATTTTCTAGTGCTATAAATTATACTGCATAATGTATACAAGGCTTCAGAAAAGTATGCAGAACCACCGACATGGTGTTTGCAGCCCAGCAGCTTCAAGAACAGTGCCAGGAACAGAACGTCAATGTTCTCCGCACGTTCATTGACCTAACCAAAGCCTTCAACATGGTGAAACACAAAGCCCTCTAGGAAATCATGAAGAAGTACAGATGCCCCAGAAAATTCATCAATATGGTTCGATAGTTCCACAAAAGCATGATGGCACACATCTTTGCAAATGGCGAATGCTCTGACCCCTTTCCAGTCACAAATGGTGTCAAGCAGGGCTGTGTGCTTGCACCTACCCTCTTCAGCATGGTATTCTCTGCCATGCTGTTGGATGCCTTCCAAGACAATGACCTTGGTATGGGGATCAGGTACCATTTTGATGGAGTCATCTTCAACCTGCACAGGTTCTGAGCAAGCTCCGAAGTCTGGACAGCCACGCTTTGCTACTTCCTCTTTGCTGATGACTGTGTGTTATGCGCAGGCTCACAGGCCAACATGCAATGGTCCATGGACCTATTCTTGTCACCCTGTGACAACTTCAGACTCACTATTAACATGAAAAAGACCGAAGTGATATTTCAACCTGTACCTGACACAACACTCCAGAAGCCACACGTATCAGTTACAGGCCCACAACTGTTGATAGTCGACAAGTTTGTCTATCTAGGCAGCATGCTCTCCTGTGCTGTCCACATCAATGATGAAGTCAACACGAGACTAGAGAAAACTAGCATGGCCTTTGGCAGACTCCATAAGTCAGTCTGGTACTGCAGAGGCATCAGAATGTCAATGAAACTGCAATGCCATCATTCTCCTGCCCCTCCTATCCCCTTTCAAGAATGCCTGACACTCACCTGCCGAAGAAAATCTTCTACAGTGAACTGTAAAATGGAGTACGCTCTTGCAGCGCACCAAAGAAGCAGTACAAGGACACCCTAAAGGTGTCCTTAAAGAGTTTCAGCATTGACCTGGAGTTGTGGGAGCAAATTGCTCACAACCATCCATCCTGGAGATCATCAATCCAGAACAGAGCACTGGCCTTTGAACAGCAATGCATGGCAGAAGCAATGAAGAAACACATGACCAGGAAAACAAAAACCTCTCATACCCAGTTCTCATCTCTTTCCTGCCCCTGCTGCAGCAGATTGTTCAAGGGTAAGATCGAGCTTGTGGGTTACATACCCACATGACCTAGCCTCCGCCCCATTCCCTTCTCTTTCC